GGGGGGAGGGGGGGGGGCGGAGACTTACCCCTTTTTGAACCTGCCCAGAAGCGCCACTCAATGAGCCCTGAATACTGCTGACCCCACCACCTAATGCAGGTCCAACGGCTGGCAACGCAGCTGCACACGCACAGCGCCAATGAAGAAAAACAAATCAAAAATGAAAAAACATACATATCGCAACAAAAAAAAAAAAAAAAACACAGAAAGCAAGAGGGCCCAAAACGGAGCCGGGACACAGAAACAGGAAAAAAAAAGAAAGGGGAGAAAAATCGCGAGAGACAACTGCTCACCCAACCCAATCCAATGATCTCTTCTTTGTTTCCCCTTTTTCTTTTTTTTTTTATTCTGTTTTTTATTTCTCTTTGGCCGATGAAATATCAAATCATCGAAGAGAGAGAGGGAGAATTGATTGGGGTTACTTACTACCGTCTTCACCGCAATAGAACGCCCGGTCATTCTCGCTGTATCTAGACTGAAAGTTGCACCGAATACAGCTTTAATGACCGGGCGTTAGGCTGGAGCATATAAAATTTAATTGAAATATTTTAACGTGGATTCTTGATTGGATATTTCATTATTAAAAAAAAAGTGGATCGTTGACTGGATATTTTGTAGAGTCGTAGAGTGGAGTTGATTAGGGCTCTTCTGGTTCATCCAGCGGTTTCCTTAACAGTTCGCCCTCTTTCGTCCATTTTTTTAGTGTTTTAGCCTAGGGTACCAGAGTGGGCCGGGTCCACGTGCACGGCCGAGCCAAAAAGAAAAAATATATATATATATCTGTTTGTGACGATATATATCGTCATATATTTTTTCAATTTAATTTTTTATTTTAAATTTGGTAAATAATTTCGATGTAACCCTGAGGCAAAAGTTGTTCAGTTTATTTTTCTGCATAATATAGTTTTTTTTTTCCGAATTTTTTGGATTTTTTTTTTTTGGGCTGGGACTTTCCCTTGTCCTTGCATGGCCGGGCCGCCCGGGAAAATAGGGTGACCCGGGCGGCCCGGCTGGTAGCCTAGGTTTTAGCTAATATTCTTTCTTAAAAGTCTTCGTCTATTTTTTTTCTCAAGTATGAGATAGTTTCTTAGAGCACTGCACTGGATTCGTACATCACTGACTGGACTGCTGGCTGGTTGGGGGGAGAGGGAGGGGATTGTGTACTGGTGTGTGTGAGTTCATGTGGAGCTACAGCAGTGTGTGTGTGTG